ACACCTTTAGCCCCTTTCTTTCCATTTCACAATGGAATTTGGTCTTTTAAAATAGTTTTAATGTTTATTTTAGCTCTTACTTTTTTGGGGGGAGGGACTTTTACTACACAGGCTCTGCCTAGAATCATCCCCATTGAACTCAAAACAATAAACCTTGAAGGAAGTAAAAGAACTTATACACAGCCAGGGATTTAGCTCAGTGGTTCCACCACCTTGCAAGCACAAGGTCCTGCATTTGATCTCTGGTACCAAAAAGGAACTGACATACAGGTGGGGTAGCTCCAGGTGATGGGGAGCCCGGGAGGGAGGGAAGGTGAGGGCTTGCTGTGTCTGAGGGTGCTCTCTGGGCACACTTGGCAGAAGGTGCTGCTGTGAGTGGCAGGTAGATGCACTGGAAGTGAATTATGGCTGTCAGAGGCAGCAGTGCTGTATCAGATTACAAGAGTGGCTCCCCAAGATTGAGGGGTGAGGGAAGAAGAGGATAGTGCTAAATCTGGGAACGCCTGGAGAAGTCAGGTGAATGGTGTGAGGATGATTTCTGTGATAGGAAATCCTGGCCAGGATGGGTTGCAGTGTTTGACAAACTATTTGGTCCTGCTGGGTTTGAACAGCTCCATAGATAATGGACAAAAATGAATTACTGGTGCTGGCGTGGGAGGAGAACTTGGTCCAGGAAACAGCTTAGCTGAAAGAAGAGTTGGGGTGGAAGCATGAATGAAGACCTGGGACCACACACACCACACCAATGCCTCACTAGGATCGTTAACTGGACAGCGTTTCAGCAAAAATACACAGGCCCCAGTGAGTCGTATGAAGCCCATGATATGAAACTGAATTAATTGTGCTGTAGATTGATTCCCCCTAGGAAGAAAGCCAGAATGTATAGTTTTGTGGTCAGATCTTCTGGGACCCACTTAGAAAATCAGAGCCACATGAGACAGCAATGGAAAGGAAGTGATATTTGTTGAGTACCCACTATGAGCCAGGTGCTATGCTGGTTTATCACTGTTTACTGGTTTGTTTCATTTATTCATTCACTCAACATGTGTTGAACACCTTCTGTGTCCTGGTAGGGCCACATCTCTGCCTGCTCCCCATTTCCGGGGTCTGCATTGTTTCTGAGCATTGGACACACCTGCTTTGGTGATAAAAACCTGGCAGGAATCTCCCGAGCTCTCTTCCTTCCAGGAGGAGTTCTGCGCAGTGTATGTGTGGGGAGACTGATACCTCATGCTTTGGGCCGAACTAGCTGCCTGCCAGCGGGGCTTCTCAGGTACAGCAAGTTTGGCAGGGGCCCCTCAAAATCAACAGCAGCAGCTTCACTGTAAGAAAAGGGGTCAAACAAAAACAAAGCAAAATCCTGAAACACTAAGAAAGACGTATCAAGTAGCAAAGAAGGGGATAGCTGAGGATGAGATGGGGAACTGGGTCAGGGGCTGGGATTTTACTCTGAATAAGCAGTTTGGAAATAATCGTTTACAAAAAAATGCCCTGAAGGGAGATATTGAGCAAGTGGCTCCTGCTGGGAGCCTGTCAGCCTCCTGTTCCACCTTCTCTTAGAGCAGCACCTTGGAACAGATTGGGAGTTGGCAGGTAGGGTGGAGATACCCATTAGCTGCCTTTCCGGGGCCTGCTGCAGCTGAGCTGATGGACAGCTCATTCTGAGCTCTCACTCCCAACCTTTTTTTGACAAAATCGAACACTATGGATTCTGGTCCTCTGGAGCACCCTGAACCCAGCGGCAGGGGTTGGAAGAAGAGGGTTTTGGTTTGTTTGTTCTATTTTTGTTTCTTAAAACTCACACACTTGGTTTCTACTGTGAGACAGCTTCCTGACTCTGCTCAGTTGATGTATTGAGTCTTTGGGAAGAAGAGACAGGGCTCCTAGCTCCCAGAGGGGACCCTGATCGGGTATGGGTGGGACAGAAACCTCAGATAATTCTGCAGTGGGACCTCTGGGGAATGAAAGGTGTGAAAATGTGGGGTACTGCTAGAATCACACTCACATAGCAGATAGGCCCTGAAATTCCAAACCAAAACCCACGGAAATGATTTTTTGATCTAGACTTATTCCCCAAATGTCTACTCTGTGTTGAGGGGATGGAGGTTCTAGTAAAGAAAAACATGATGCCAGCTCTGTCCTGCAGAAGTCAGTGACACAGCTCATTGTAGCAGGAGGACTGTGACAATGAGGCCGTAAGGAGGGTTGATGTGCCGCTCAGGGAGGGAGGCAGGGGGGAAAAGTATTCCACCCGGAGAATCTGGTGTCAGCACCCACGCCCATCTGCGAGTTTAATTATTTTTGGATGGCTCAACAGTTAACCTCCTCTCTACTTAAATGTGGGGCTTGGTTTCTTGCCTTGCTGGCCAACAGAGGTGCTTTTGAAAATCTGTGAGAAGCATTGAGGATCTTGGGCTGGCTGGTAGCTCAGTGATAAAGGAGAAGGAAGAAGGGTTTTTGTTGAATAGAATCCCTGTTCTGAGAGACAGCAAAGCTTAAAACTTCAGACCAATAGGTCGACATCCTTGTGGGACAGTGTGGACCCAGGACATTTGTAGCTTGCTTTTTACAGATTATGAAATTGAGGATCATGGTGAAAGTGAGTGAAAAAAAATCACTGCCAGACTTAAGTTCTTTGTTCTCATTTCACCCCCTTAAAGAGTGCACTGAGATTATGCAAAAGGTGAAATGTGCTTTGAAAACCTGGAAATAAAATGTTACGCAATATCTATGTTGCATTAATTCTGCCCTCCGCATTCCAGAGAAGGGGTCTGTCCTTCAGCTAGACTTTTGCCAATGAGTCTAGAAAGTGGGGGGAGTAGGAAGGAAAACGGTGTGAAAGCAGAACTAAAATGTCGTGAAACGTGCAGCAGAGTGCCCAGTACAAGCCTAGGGCATGGCAGAAGCTCACGAAATGTTTGTCCCTTCCCTTCATGAAGAGATAAAGACCCTCCTGAAGCTGGCATGGCCTCAGCATAGTCATAGTGGAGTAATGGACAATTAGGGCGTTGCTCAGATATCCATAGATAATTACACACTTGATTTTGGATTAAGGCTCTCGGTAAAGCTTTTAAGTTTCTGGGTTATTTGCATGGATATAATTGTTTAAGCTAGATTGGAAAAAAATCATGGAAACACATGAATTTGCTTTGTTCAACATTCTTTCACTGAAAATCAAATAGCATGACTAGTTCCGTATGCTTTATGCCCATTCTCACCTCTTCCATGTGATTATGACATGGGGTTAAAAACTTGTTATGTTGCGGGGAACAGGAAGGTGAATAAAATTTATTGAGTTTTTGCTGTTGAGTAGTAACTATGTTTTGCACAGTCTGTGCACTCTCTTTCCCTTCCTCTTCCTTTTTCTTCTCTTCTACTCCTTCTCCTTTCTCTTCCTTTTCCCCCTCTCCTCCTTTACTTCCTCCTCCTCCTTCTCCTTCTTTTCCTCCTCATCCTGATCTCTGGATTTCCCTTCACTTTTTATAGATAAAGAAACTAAGGATCACAGAAGACTATTAATTATCCAAGGTCATTTTTCTAAAATACAACAAAACTGGGACTTAAACTCAAAGCTTCTGGTTTTTACATTTTTAATGCCAACTTTGCAGTAAGGTGCTGAACGTGTGGGTTCTTGTAATGCCCTCATGCAGTACATGGTTAGAGCCAACAGAAGAGAAAATAACGTGCCAATGGTGAATGGAAAAGGAAATATCTTTGCCTCACTCAAAACAAAAATGATACCTAACATTTAAGTTGTGTGTCATGGTTTTCAAAATATTTCATAGGAATTTCCCATTTTATAGCTAAGAATATACTCAGAGTTTAATTCAAGGCTGTACAGCCATTAAATGACAAAACTGAGACCCAAGCTTGAAACTTCTGACTTTCAATTCTATTCTAGTACTCTAAAGTGTCTTTCTCACATAACTTAGCCACATGGGCAGAGGAGAGACTGTGACTGAGTTTGGATGTGGATGTGTAGTGTGTTTGGTGGCTCTGGCTAGGCTGGTGGGTCTTGTGATTTTCATCCATTGCTGTGTGTCAGTGAAGAGCTTGCCTCCCTAACTGCTTCACCAAGTCAGCAGGCAATACATGGTCACCGAACATTTAAGTCAATTTGCACTTGCATCTTGCTGTTGTATAAAGCTTCTTTCTTTCTTTCTTTCTTTCTTTCTTTCTTTCTTTCTTTCTTTCTTTCTTTCTTTCTTTCTTTCTCTCTCTCTCTCTCTCTCTCTCTCTCTTTCTTTCTTTCTTTCTTCCTTCCTTCCTTCCTTCCTTCCTTCCTTCCTTCCTTCCTTCCTTCCTTCCTTTCTTTCTTTTGTTACTGGGGATCAAACTTGGGACCTTGCACTTGTGGGGCAGGCAGCAGCACCATGTATAAAGGCTTTGATTGCAGCCTTTCATGAGTTCCCTCAGTCCCACAGAGCCAGGAATAGAGAAACATTCCTTACACCCCTCATCCTGTGGTTTTCATGTAAAAGTGACAGAATTGATGGTTGCAGGACAGGATATGCTCCTCTGCTCTTGAGGGGATTGCACAGTGTCCAAACTGTCCTCCTTGTCATCCTTGAACTGGCTAGTGAGTCTGAACAGGCCTGGGTGAATGCTAACCTCTCATGGATCGGTCCAAAACAGGAAGCAGTGTTCTGCAGAAAGTTTTTGTTCAGGTTGGGAAACCAAGTCCTAATCCCCTCTTCTGATGATTGTACAAAAATCAAATTGCTTGACAGATGCACAGATAAACAGAAGTTTGCAATCAAAGCAAGTTCTGGAATGGGGCTGATCCATCATGGATATTTTTAATGGCTCTTAGTTTGAGTAGCTTCCAGGAATAGCTTTCAGGCAAACCAAACCCATACTTAAGTGGGCCCACACCCAGGTACACCAACACCTAGTTGACAAGTATATAAGAGGACCCTGATCATCTCCTGACAACGCGTTTATCTCCAGCTTTGGCTCTCATCAGGAACCTTCAAGTTTCCTCATTGTACAAAGCCATCATGAGTTGTCAGAACTCCTGCAAGTCTCGAGGAGGAGTAGGAGGAGGAGGAGGAAGAAGAGGAGGAGGAGGAGGAGGAGGAGGATTCCGGGGCTTCAGCAGTGGCTCAGCCATAGTCTCTGGAGGGAGCCGGAGATCGACCTCCAGCTTCTCCTGCTTGAGCCGCCACGGAGGTGGAGGTGGAGGTCGAGGTGGAGGCTGCGGGGCCGGCGGCTTTGGCAGTCAGAGTGTTGTTAGCCTTGGAGGGAGCAAGAGCATCTCCATTTGTGTGGCTGGAAGAGGCGGCAGCTTTGGTTCTGGTGGTGGATTTGGTGGCAGAGGAGGTAGCTTTGGAGGTTTTGGAGGTGGCAGCAGCTTCGGAGGAGGCAGCGGCTTTGGAGGCGGTGGTTTCGTTGGAGGCAGCGTTGGAGGAGGCCGCTTTGGAGGTGGCGGTGGCCCCGGAGGTTTTGGGGGTCCTGGTGGCTTTGGGCCTGGAGGAATCCTTGGTGGAGGCATCCATGAAGTCTCTGTCAATCAGAGCCTCCTGCAACCCCTCGATGTAAAAGTAGACCCAGAGATCCAGAATATAAAGTCTCAGGAGCGGGAACAGATCAAAGCTCTCAACAACAAATTTGCCTCCTTCATTGACAAGGTAAGGCAGAAGTGGCTCCTGCTGATGCTCAGGACTGTGGCTTCTAGTGCTTGATGAAAAGGAAACCACACAGTCTAGATCCTTTTAGGAGCTGTTGGAGTGGCCATCGCAGCCTGGGTTATTTGCATATCCTAAATGTGAAAAATGCTGGCTTTGCAGGATGTTTCCACAACAGTCTACAGTTAGGAATCATGTGACTCTTTGATTTTATTTTTCAGTCTAAATAATTATGGAAATTCTGACAATTATAGAAAAATTGGTATCGGCAGGTAATGAACTGAGCAGGTCAGGCTATGTGACAGCAGATTTTGAAAGGGATTGGTGAGATGTTTTCTTTCTCAGTAATTTTTTCCTTCTTTGGAAAGTTATTACTCTATTAAATCCTGTGAAGCGGAACTTGAAATATCTTCTTGAAATTCCAGCCTTCAGCAGAAACATTCTCAGTTTTATGATCCATAAAGTCTTTAATGGTGTCACTTTAGGGTGTTACTTTCTCCTATTTCAAGGCAGAGAAACCTGTCTTGGTTGAATTACACAGGAATTTATTGGGTTCTTAAAAACCAGCCAAGGAGCCCTGCCCTCCAGGATTCATCCTTAGCACCCTGGGTTGTAGTGCCAAAAGCAGATATCTGCTTTTGGTTTGCCCCAGAATTTATGGGACCTTGGCAGGGATGCAACTAGGATCAGGGAGAGAAATGGCCTGGAGTCTTGGGAGCAGCTGTAAACAAAACAGTGGGTGTGAAGTAGGAGAGTTCTGTGCATGGAGAGAGCCAGCAGTAGCATTAGGAGTCCATAGAACTTTCCAACTGTGGAGGGAGGGAGCTCAGAAGCTCTACCAGGCCCTCTCCAGCCTCCCTCTGGCTGGTGTAGATGAAGCTTTGTGACTATCTTCCAGTTCCCAAGTAGGACTGGAGCTACCCAGTGCAGCTGTGTCTCACTAGTGTGAAGAGTGGCCTGGGCCTTATGTGCTCTTCCTTCCCTCACGTCAGGTGCGCTTCCTGGAGCAGCAGAACCAGGTACTGAAGACCAAGTGGGATCTGCTGCAGCAGCTGGATGTGAGATCCCGCACCACCAACCTGGAGCCCCTCTTCCAAACCTACATCAGCCTACTCCTGAAGCAGGTGGATACGCTCTCTTCGGAAAGAACTGCACAGGATTCAGAGCTGAACCACATGCATGATCTTGTGGAGGATTATAAGAAAAAGTAGGTGGCTTAGTAAACCCTGAGTGGAGATAGATACTGAAGAGAACCAGCCAATGACTTATCTACCATTTGTATTTGTGGTGATAAAAGGCTTTGATGGCTGCATCTTTGTTGATTATTTATGAAGAGGACATAAAATTTCAGAAATCCTTTTTTTTTTTTTTAAAGTTTGAGAGTTAGCTTATAGAAATCCATTGCTATTTGGGGTTAGGATTTTGGCATTTAAAGAATGTTTAATATGCCTGGAGAATTCATTTGGGATGAATCTAGTAGAAAAAGGAAAAAAAGAAAAAGAATACCAGAACTAATCCAACTGTTGTATCATTTGGGTTCCAATAGGTTTGAGGATGAAATCAACAAGCGCACAGCTGCTGAGAATGATTTTGTGACACTTAAAAAGGTGAGCAAGGGCATGCCACAGCCAGGGTAGAAATCAGGGTGTGTCACATCACACCGTGTCCAGACAAACAGGCTGGAAGAAAATGGTAAGTACACACAGCAGCAGCCAGAGAAAGGGCTGAGATATGCCTGTCTGGTTCTCTTGGGGCAAAAGAGTCTCTGCAGTTCAAACTTCTGAAGACGATATTCCAGGATACTCTGTACATTTGGCAGAACAATACCAGCACTCTCCCACTTAAAACCTATGTTAGATCATAAAAATGCAAACATAGAAAGCACTTTATTCTTCTTCTACAAGGCTGGGGAGGAATGGGACTTCCCTTAGAATGCCTGCTTATAGTTGCTATTGGTTGTGCTGGCATAGCTCTGAGCTGAAGGCCTAAAAGAATAGCTTCTAAGCCTGGTTCCTAGGAGGGACTGGTGTATCATCCAAGTATAATCTATACTTCCACAGTTCCCAAAATGTCTTAGAGGAAGTTTTCAGGAGAGGCAGGATGAACAGACAAGATGGGAGTGTTGAGGACTGTGAAAGGACACAGAGGCCATTGTACCTACTGAGAGAAACACTGTGTCTCAGACTGGAGGGAGAGGCTGGTTAGAAAAGGTTGGTCCCGTGCAAGTGCTTTTGGTCATGAGTGGGGCATGAGCAATGCACATGGGCAGAGATGGATGGTAGACTGCATGCCTGATGAGGCCCCCTCAGGATGTGGTTCCTCTGGAGGTGTTTGGCATGTTGGAGAGCAGCTAACAGGCACCGAGTGGAGGACAGCCACAGAGCAGCTGGGACCCTTATGGGGGAACCAAGCAAGGTAGGGAGTATGTGTTTCACCAGAGGCCCCTGACTGTCTATGCAGGATGTGGACAATGGCTACACAATCAAGGTGGCTCTGCAGGCCAATGTAGAAGCACTGGCCCAGGAGATTGACTTCCTGAGAAGGCTCTATGAGGAGGTAAGGAGGCTTTTCCTGGACAGACCTATACTTCCATGGTTCCCAAAAAGTCTTACCCACTCGGTGAAAAGGTGGCAGGAATGGGGGCTATGGGCTGACTGACCTCCACTAGCCATCCTTCTAGCCCGCTCGGGAGTTGCATAGCACAGGCATTGGGGGAGAGGAAGTTTTCTCCTTTGATGTCATAGAAAGTGAGATTCAGGAAACACCAGGTCAACTTCCCCTCTCTGCATCCCCCACAGGTCCACCTCCCTTTAGGAAGGGGCCTGTCCTATGCCCCTTGTGCTTCAAAGGTCAAAATGCACTGTCTTCTAAAGTCACACATATCAATCCTGAAATAGGATGTAGAATTTAAGGTATTAAATGGAACATTTAATGAACCGCCTTACTGGGGGCATTTACTGGTGTAAGTGGTGAAGGCTGCTGAGTAGTTGACTCAGAGATACAGACCCCCTCTCCCTCCCTACTATTCTGAGGACAACCTTGGAGAGGCCTTGGAATGATGGTGATGTCATTTTTCATCCCATCTGGGACATGCTTACTCTGAAAGTCTGTGTGTTTCACTAATATAGGGTGGGGAGGCCTCCTCCCTATCTGTGGTATGGGCGGGAAGTCATGGCCAGACCTTGCTATGTGTTGTAGGAGCTGTCCCAGCTTCAACAGACTACCACCGAAACCAGTGTTGTCTTGTCCATGGACAACAACCGCTTCCTGGATCTAGAAGGCATCATTGCTGAGGTTCAGTCCCAGTATGAAGATATTGCTCAGAGAAGCAAGGCTGAGGCTGAGGCCTTGTACCACAGCAAGGCAAGTATAGAAGGCTGAGGGGCAGCCCCAGCTCCTTACAACAAACCAGGCTTCAGCCCCAGTCAGGATGTATGCAGTAAGATTACTGGTGTGTTTGGCCAATGAAATTGGGAATCATTCTCAAGAAAGAGTGTTGAGAATGGTACCAAGTTCTTGGTGAAGATATGAGATGATCTTCCACCTCCCATGAATATGATCACCATTCTCAGCCAGTTGCCAGCTTTTCCTTAACTAAAGCCAAGGTTCTCCCAGGGTGGAGTCCCCTGTGACCTGTCCTTTTCTCCCCATCAGTATGAGGAACTGCAGCTCGTCGCAGGGAAACATGGAGACAGCTTGAGAGAGATCAAGATGGAGATCAGTGAGCTGAACCGCATGATCCAGAGACTACAAGGGGAGATCTCACATGTGAAGAAGCAGGTGAGGCCTGGTCTGTACAGTGGGTCTAGATCCGCTGGTTGAGTGGAGCTTGGGTGGAGTGGGTGGTTGTATCTGAGTGTATCTTGTGTGTGTGTGTTTGTGTGTGAGAGAGAAACTGAGAAGTTCTAGTTTGCATTAATAAGAGTGTCCTGCAGCTAAACATATTTTAAGGCTATAACAATGTTTAGTGTGGTCTAAAGGATGTTTTAAATGTAGTCATTAGAATGTTCAAAAAATGGGTCAGCGAGGGGAAAGAATTGTGATCACTTTTTGGTTGTCTAAACAAGTAAAGGGGGGCAATAGTAAATAAAGCATAGATTAGTTTGACTTGTGTGAATTGCCGGTGTAGTTTCCCATTTGTGGGTAGCACAGGCCCTGAGCAGCATCTGACTGAGTTCATAGAGGGCACTCACTGAGTGTTTTAGGGAGCTGACGTGGGGCTGGACAATAGCCTTGGGGAAAAAAAGAGGGCAGAGTGGACTCCAGAAGCAGGAGAATTTCTGCAAAGCAGTCTGTATTGAATGTCATCATTTACATCTATAGAGTGAGATAATGTTCCTGGCCCTGTGCTGTGAGAGTCAAAGCCACCTTTGGGAGCACATACAGGGATAGGCAAAGGGTGGTTTTGAAGAAGACGTCCTGGAGATAGTAGAAGGTTTAGCATAGTTGTCTGAAGCATCCATTAACCCTGGGGCTATCCAACACCTCTGGGGTCAGTTATTTGGGCCTCCCACACTGAACATCTCTGCTCCTTATCCCCATCTGCCAGGCAGACTCTGCTATCTATACAGAAAGAAACCTTCCCCCTTTCTCTTGCAGTGCAAGTGTGTACAAGATGCCATAGCTGAGGCTGAGCAGCGCGGAGAGCATGCCATCAAAGATGCCCAGCAGAAGCTCATAGACCTCGAGGAGGCCCTGCAGCAGGCTCGGGAGGATCTGGCCCGGCTACTGCGTGACTACCAGGAGCTGATGAGCACCAAGCTGTCCCTGGACATCGAGATTGCCACCTATCGCAAGCTGTTGGAGGGTGAAGAGTGCAGGTGAGGGATACTGGGAGGGGAGAAGGTGCTCAGGTCTGTTCTCTCCTTTGTCTTGGATCTAGGGCTGGAGTGAGGGCAGGCAAAGCAGAGGGTGGGCAGCAACTCTGATGGCTGACAGAGGGCACTCACGACATTCCCCATGGTGCAGTTCAGGACACAGAGCACTAGCGTAGAGGGGGACATTTATCATTGTGGAATGACTAACATAGCCTTTTGAAACTAAGTAAACCAGGCATAAGTTATACATACCGGTCTTTTCTGAAAGAGAAAACAAAATTCTGTGAAAACAGAGTGGTTCTAGGCAATCTGAAATGTGGTCTCTAAGTCCCAGGCTATGTGGCCTCCTTTGCCTTCATGGTGTGACCCATAACGGAAATGATGGTGTCAGAATGTGCTGACTGTCGGGGATGTGCTAACCCCAGTGGGTGCAGACATGATTCTGTGCAGGTTTCAAGAGTGAAAATCAACCAACTGTGAACCTTAAAAGAGGGGCCTTTTGCTTTTTCTGTAGTCTAAAAACTTTGTTGGTGTTATCAACACTCTTGGTGACTTCATGTGGCCAAAGCGATTGGAAAGGGAAAAGGGGCCCTGGGCCACCCACAAACCACTGTGACAAAGGGAGCAGATTTTTCAGGCTGTTGTTCTGTGTCTGCCTGTGTCCTCCACTTGTACCAGGGAGGAGAAAAATCTCCAGGGGAGCAGAAGAGGGGGAGGGAGAGAGGAACCAGCAGGCTGTACATAGTTTTAGTTCTTTCTGAATGGGATGTTCACAGTGGAACCTCATTTAAAATTTTTAGAGAAGGTGTGATTCTGAGTGACAAATTCCTAAGGTAGATTTAGATAAAGGTCTTACACAATCAGAAGTGAATTTGCTGTTCAGTCACTCTGGAACAATGTTCATTTTAATCTGAGCAAAAACTTGAGATGGATTGAGATGCCAGGCTGTGCCTATTAGTGTGGGGTCTGTTACCATCTTTGGCATCTGGCAGCATAGAAGAAGGTGGGAGGTATAGGCCCTGGGGGCTGATCACAGTGGCTAATCTGTATACTGGAAGGTAGAAGTTCCAAAACAAGATACATGCAGAGTCTACCTGCCCTGCTACAAGTTCTTCTCTTTCTCTCCCTGACAGGATGTCTGTAGAACTCAGTGACAGTGTGACTATGTGTAAGTAGTGGGGTGTGGTCCTGTTTTGTGCTGGGTAGAGGTGGGCAGAGCAGTCAGAACTTCTGTAGTAATGCTATCTCTCCTACAGCTGTGACAAGCAACACCATCTCTTCAAATGTGACATCCCAGACTGGCTTTGGAGGCCATAGTGTTGGAGGCAGAGGCTCCATTTATGGAGGAGGAGAATATAGCTCTGGAAGTGGCAGTCATGGGTCTGGAGGCAGAAGATCAGGCTCCAGAAGTGGTGGAGGAAGCTCTGGCATTGGTGGTTCCAGAGGAGGCTGTGGCTCTGGAGGTGGCTCCAGGGGCGGTTCTGGCTCTGGAGGAGGATACATCTCTGGAGGTGGCTCCAGGGGAGGTTCTGGCTCTGGAGGAGGATTCAACTCTGGAGGAGGTTCTGGCTCTGGAGGGGGTTCTGGCTCTGGAGGATGTTCCAGCTCTGGAGGTGGCTCCAGGGGAGGTTCTGGCTCTGGAGGAGGATTCAACTCTGGAGGAGGATCGGGCTCTGGAGGAGGCTCTGGTTCTGGAGGATGTTCTGGCTCTGGAGGAGGCTCCAGGGGAGGTTCCAGCTCTGGAGGTGGTTCCAGAAGAGTCTCTGGCTGTGGAGGGGGAGTTTCTAGCTCTGAAAGGGGTGGTTCTGGCTCAGGTGAAGGTTGCGGTTCTGGAGTGACCTTCTCTTTTAGATAAAGATGGGGTCCTCTTCAGCTTCTTCCATTCCAGAAAGTAGAAGCCTGTTTCTGTACCTCTAACTGACAGCATGACAAATTTGCCATCTACTTCTGATGGCGTTTTGGGGGAAAGATGCTTATACAAAGTTTTTGAAAGTTCTTCTTTTCCAACCAGCTATTGTAGTTAGAGACAGTGACACCCACTGTTTTCTGAGGGAAGAATCTTCATTGTCCAAATTTGGCTTCCAGTAATGCCCCACTCCTGGTTCCCTTGCCTCCTTGCTTTTCCCACTTGGGGGTCCTCTTCCAGAGGGTATTCTACTGAGGACCCCAGGGCAGTCTACTGATGCCTTCTCAGAGCCTACACTTTTCTCAGGGAGGTACTCCAGGGAACTGTGCTTCTGTGTACATAGCCCCTCTTGTTGGCTCTGCTTTCTGAGTGCTGTGGTCTGGGTGTCTGCACAATAAACTTCATTTGCAACTCATGTCATGTGTTGTTTGTTTTATGCAAAACCATGGTTGAGGTGAGTAGCCACAGAAGGAAGAGATGTGCATGTGATGAGAAGAGGGCCTCTTTGACGAGGGCAGGCCTTCTGAGGGAGTGTGGCACCAGGAGCCCAGGGTGATTTCCTCTGGAGGGAAGGAGGTTAAGCTGGCCCTGGGCCAGATGTGATATTCTCAGAAAATATCAGCCAGGTAGAAGACATAGGGATTTAAGGAAAATTCTCCTAGAAAGCATTGCTCTTGAGAACATTTCTCCATTGACTAACCCTTTGAGCTTTGCTCTGTGGTCACTTCTTTTCAGGGCAAACCAGCTGAGTCCCTGAGCACCCACCCAGGCCTTTGTAGCTCTGAACTTCCCAGGCAGAGTTCTCTCAGCCCAGCATAAACCAGGGAGTTCTCTAGCTCCCCACAACTCTCCTATTCTTGCGGGCATGCACCTCCTGGATGCTCTGGGTGCCTCTGAAATGGATTTCCTGGGAGGTGTCTGGAGGAGCTCACATAGTCTCCATTAATAGACTTCTGTTTTCACAGCAGAGCAGTCCCATCACACTCAGCAAATAAAGAACGTTTCTTCCCTCTTCTAGGGCTCCCTGGAGCCCCACCCCACAGATATCCCAATTAGGGTTGCCTTCTCTTATGAGTGTGGAGATGATTTCAGTTCCTTTCCTCAAAAGCCCTCTATGAATTTATTAATAATGCACATTCTTGGTTCCACTCCCCTCCCCCAATTTCTACCACCTGGAATAGAACCTGGAAATCTGCATTGCAACAAGCTCCTTGTAACAAGAGTTACACTTTGAAAAGCACTGATACAGAGGTTATGGGTCTACGGTGGATTCAGTTCCTGGCACCTTGAAATTTAGTAGGCAATTAATGAAAAACTGATGATCAGATAAGACCTTGAACAAGTTAATTCATCACCAGACTTGATTTCCCATTTGTAAAACAGCAATGACAGTATCTTATAAGGCTGTTGGAAAGATTGTATACAATGGTAAAGGAAAAAATGTGTTGTGTAAGACCCATGCTTTTGCAAACATGCACTCATTGTTATGTACACTGTTATGCAATTATCTTTACTACTATGGCACTTATTGGTATTATAAGTTACAGAGAATATTGTGAGACTCAGAAAGTTTGTGGATGAGATGACTTCATGTCCAGGCACTGAAGAATGCATGGAATGAAATAAGAAATAATTACAATTCTATATAAGCTTTCCCAGAAGATAGAAGAGAGGATATTTTTCACCTTATTTTAGAAGGCCAGAATTATCCTGGTTCTAAAATTATACAAAGATGCTTCAAATAAGCTAAAGATCTATATTCCTCAAGAACACAGATTCAAAAATTCTCAACAAGGTATGAGCAAATATAATATATAAATCTTTAAAAATTATAGTACACCATAGCTCTGAGGTTTGCCTCAGACAGGAAAGGCTCAACATTAAGGAATCACTTACTGTATTTACCATATTGACACATAGAAGAGTAAAACCTACATTATCTTCTGAATAGGTGCAAAACCACTGGACAAAATTCAACACATATTTATTGTGAGAACAAACAAACAAACCAAAAGGCAACTCTGAGCAAACCAGGAGTTGAGGGGGAGTTCCTTGACAATTCTTTAGCAGATGGACTTGGTACGTCATCCTCCAGGGTCCACAGCAGTCTGCCTTGGGATGTTCCCTCAGGCTGGATTACTAAGCCTCCAGCATCTCATGAGTCAGTTCTATGAAATAAATCTCTTCCACACACATGGGGAAGAGGGAGAGGGAGAGGGAGAAGCATAAGGAGAGAGAGAATCATGGGGGAAGAGTTCCTTGCCATTGAGACAGAGAGAAAGGATATAAAGATATAATTTTCTTTAGCTTTGCCCAGTACAGGGATGGCTGGCCTGGTCTGGGGCTGGGGAAAGTTTGGGGAAACATCTCAGGCAGAGGGGTCTGGACAGCTATGGGAGGTGGTCCAAGTCTTAGAGCAGTAGCAGCACTGAGTAGTGGGCTGGGCGTGGGCAGGGTACAGTGAGTAGCTGCCCCAGCTACTCTTGGTAAGAATTGATGCAATTCCCAGAGTGAGACTAAACTATGAATCATGGATCAGGATAGGGAGTCCTCTCTTCTGAACCCTAGCCAGACTCTGATGATGATGATGACCTTGTGCTTGCCAGGCAGGCACAGTACCACTGAACTAAATCCCTGGTCCTTTTGCTGATTATTTTGATTGTTTTTGTGCCAACAGACTACCTGGAGAAGCCACCGACAACATGAGGTACTGTAAGTAGTCAGAGCATTTCCTTTGCTAGTGAGTTCAGGGTCACCCTGTTTTTCCAAGAGAAAGAGGAGGAGCCTTCATCTTGGAGGCTGGGGACCTTGGATCCTGAACTTATCTGCAGGCACTGGCTGTGTGGCCTTGAGCCAGTCACCTCTTGTCTTTCGGCTGATGGAGGTGGTAGGAGCGAAGGAGCCTCAAAGGCCCTGTGCATGTAAAATCTCATGCTTGCCTCCAGGTGGAGGAAGTGGAGACTCTGCCTTCAGGACCTTTGATTTGGTAGTAGAGGATGACCTAGGCAGATGGAAGGTGTGGGAGATCCTGGCATTGGTAGCCACTGTTTCTTTGTTTCGGGAAGATGCTCCTCAGAACTGTGTGTGAGATGGATATTCAGTGACAGCTCCAGAGCTGTTCCAAGTCTCCCTCTCATCTGCAGTGTTGGTATCAGGCACAAGTGTGGAGTGAGAGGCCTCAAGACCAAGGCCTGTGGCCTTTGGCTGTTTCCATCCTACAAAGAAAGGGCTCATTAAATGTTTGCTAAAGCATTGACACCCTCAACTCCCCAAGACTCAGTTTCCCCATTTGTGAAATGCCAATTGTCACACCTCTTCTTCGGGCAGACTAAGTGGATCAGAGCTGTGTGCAAGGTGCTCTTTCAACACTGTGAAGTGCTGTTCCAGTGTTAGCCATTGTGAATGGTAGTAGTGACCTTCATTTCCAGTTCAAGAGTGGGGGTAGGACTTAGCATGTGCAGATGGAGGTGAGCAGGCATCCTGGCTGGCACAGGAGACCAGGGGTGGGTGGGATTAGCAGGAAGCTGTCAGCCAGTGGGTTGGGCCTGGATTCCTGGTGGGCTTCCTGCCCATGGCCCTGGGGCACCCGTGAAAACTGTCTCCAGGAAGCCTGGGAAGCCTGGCTACAGGACGGTCTTCCTAACCACATTAAAGAGCTGGCCAGAGTCCCTGAAGTAGCCTATCTGATGCCGGCACAGGTGTGAGATTTCTCACAGATGATCCTGTCAATTAAAGTTCTCTTCTTGGGTACCTCGGCAATCCCAGCCCCCATCATGCCTTGAGGAAGAATAGTTGAGGCTGTGGCAAACTCCCAAGGCAAGATCTTTCTAGGGCTAATTTGGCCAGGCTAATTACCCCATGTTAATTAGATAAATGCAATTATGCCAGCAAGGTTTGCAGGCCCAGCATTCCCTGGGTTTTTAAGTTATTTACCTAGTGTCTCTGATTTTGCTGGGAGAAAATTCATTTCTTGCCCCTAGGTGAACTAAAACCATAAATTATGGCAGTGGCACTCTCCTGAGCTCTATAAAGGAAGAGGCCAAGATCAGAGGCTGGTGAGCGCATCACAGCTAAGGATTAGCACTTTCTCCCAGCCCGCTGGCCTCCCCACCATGAGCCGCCAGTTCACCTGCAAGCCGGGAGCTATCACCAAGGGAGGCTTCAGTGGCTGTTCTGCAGTGCTTTCTGGGGGCAGCTCATCCTCCTACCAGGCAGGGGTCAAAGGGCTCAGTGGAGGCTTCAGCAGCCGGAGTCTCTATAGTCTTGGAGGTGCCCGGAGTATTCCATTCAATGTGGCCAGTGGTCCTGGTCGAGCAGTAGGCTATGGGTTTGGCCGGGGTCGGGCCAGTGGCTTTGCTGGCAGCATGTTTGGCAATGTGACCCTAGGTCCCTCATCTCCATCTATGTACCTGCCCGGGGGCATCCATCAGGTCACTGTCAACAAAAGCCTCTTGGCCCCCCTCAATGTGGAGCTGGACCCTGAGATCCAGAAGGTGCGTGCCCAGGAGCGGGAGCAGATCAAGGCTCTGAACAACAAGTTTGCGTCCTTCATTGACAAGGTGAGCCTCTTTTTTTTTTTTCTTTTTTGGTACCAGGGATTGAACTTGGGTCCTTGTGCTTGCAAGGCAGGCAGTGGCACCACTGAGCTAAATTCCCAGCCCAGGTGAGACTTTATTGAAAAAGCTGAACATGGCACCTCTGTCCTTCCTCTACCTTTCCTGCCCCTGTGGGACACCTTCCCAGGGTACAGACACAGCCCAGAACAGAGCAGAAAGGGACTGGACAGTCCCTTGGACACCAGAGTTGAGGGACAGAGGCCAGAGGGGTGAAAGGAACTAGAAAGCTTCATCTGGAAAGGTGCTGGGGAGGCAGAAAAAGTGACCTCCAGATAGAGAGGTGGGAGAGTTGCCATCTGTGGGACTCAGAAGCCAGGCAGAGAAGAGGCTAGTGACACTCTGAGTGTCTGGGGAGCTGGTCCTTTCAGGGAAACCAGGCCAGCCCAGACCTGGGTGAAATGTAACACACCTTGCCTATGAGATGAGGTAGACCACAGGCACCAGGGCAGTAGTTTTCAAAAGTGGTCCCTGAGCCAGAAACATCTACTTATTAAGAATGCACATTCTTTTTAATGTTCATGCAGAGATTTCTTTAACTGAAATACCGAATAGTTTCTTTGGTGTGAAAAACTACAATAGTACACAGGATCCTAATGAGACAATTAATAATGTGAAATAGGAAGTAAAGGGCTAAAGGTGTAAGGAAAGTGGGAAGGGGGGGAGAGGTAATAAGGGAGAGGAAAAAAATATGAGAAACTGAAAAAATGGAAATAAAGTGTTTGTAAATGGGGAGGGGAGGGGGGGTGAAGGGAGGGCAGGGACAAGGGGAAAAATGAGAAAAAAGACCTATTATGTAAAGGTACAGAATCCCAATGATGAATGTAACTGTATTTGTATACCTAGATTGTACCAATAACCTCAATAAAAAAGATTAAAAAAACGAATGCACATTCTCAGGCCCCCCACAGACCGGCAAAAATGAGAATCAAGACCTATTATGTAAAGGTACAGAATCCCAATGATGAATGTAACTGTATTTGTATACCTAGATTGTACCAATAACCTCAATAAAAAAGATTAAAAAAACGAATGCACATTCTCAGGCCCCCCACAGACCCAGGCAAAAATGCTCACATGAGACTCAGCAATCTGTATTTGACAGGTCTCCTAGGTAGTTCTAATGCACACTGAGGGTCTTAAACAAAGTGGTAAGAGGGTCTTGAGAATAGAGGCTTCTTGAGCTTAGAGAGTAGGGGAGTTCATGGGGGTGAGGTGGGAGACAGTGAAGTAGGATGGTGAAGAATGAATAGGAATTTTCTAGGTGGAGGTGAGCAAAGGCAGTCCAGGGGGAGAGCATGTACAGGATAATAGAACTTGTCTGGGATGGGGAGCCCTCGAGTTTGTGAGTATGAGCATACAGTAGAGGAAGGCAGGAAGGTACATTGGGCACATTGTAAAGAGTATAGTAGAAAATATGGACTTGATAGTGTGAATGATGTGAAAATACTAGAGGGTTTTAAGTAAGGGAATGACACGATACTTGTAGACTGTAACTGGAGAATGCTTGCTTTCCCTCTGAAGAAATGCTTTGGTAGAAAGTAGAGATCCAGGTCTAAAAGTCACAGAGGAGAACTCAGGATCTCAGGTGGGCAGAGCATCTGCCTTCCAGCTGGGCTGGGAGAGGCATGAACAAGGAGACATAGACTGGGTGGAGCACAGGCCCAGCCACTAGGGCCCAAGCAGAGGCCAAGATGCGTTGGCTCAGTATCTAAGGATAGGGCTTAGGAAGGCAGTCCTTGTTGAAGGTAGACATGAATCCAGTCAGCTGTAGTTAGGTGTGGAGGAGAAAGAAGGTTGAGATCTTGATAGATGGAGAGGGAAAGGAGATTTGGGGGTCTTTCCTGATCTTAGGGACTGTCCCTAGAATAAGGGCCTCCATCACACTCCGGGTCTTTGGTTGGGAGAGGTTGAGTGACATTTTTAAGGGCTTACCTTTTAAGCTATTGTAGTATAAGACAACACAGTTCCTGCCCAGGAAAGGAACACCCAGGTCAATTGTCTATGGTTGTTGGTTTGGGTTTCAGGTGCGCTTCCTGGAGCAGCAGAACCAGGTGCTGCAAACCAAGTGGGAGCTGCTGCAGCAGCTGGACCTGAACAACTGCAGGAAGAAACTGGAGCCCATTTATGAGGGCCACATCAGCGGCCTGCGGAAGCAGCTGGAGACACTGTCAGGGGACAGGGTGAGGCTGGACTCAGAGCTGAGGAACATGAGAGACATGGTGGAGGACTACAAGAAGAGGTGAGCAGGGACACTGTACTCAGGCTAGCCACCTTCTGGGGCTGGGTTTTCTCAGCAGGCAGTGGAACATTTTCCTGTGAGTGCAGGGGGCCTGAAATCAGGCAGAGGAACTCATTTGAGCTTATCTGCCTGGGGAAGATAAACACCCTTTATGGTGGGCAGGTGGGGTAGGCAGCAGATAGCCAGTGCCTTGTGTGGTGCCAGAGATGTCTCCTCTTCAGCAAGTTCGTTCTTGCTCCTCACTTGAGAGTCCCTCTGTCTGTGTGGTGCGTGTGTGTGTGTGTGTGCGTGTGGCATGGCCATCCTACTTCGGTGCTTACCTAGTGTGTTGAGTTCTAAGGAAACCCCCTTCAGGGAAAGAGGTGGACTAAAGCTGAGCATCCTCTCTCATTTCCCAGAGGTCCTGGACATTTGAACCATGCTCCTTCTTATCCTAGGAGATAGCTCTGGCTTCCTTGGGACTCCTGCATCAGGACAGAGTGGACTTGTGGCCTTGCCAGACTGAAAGGTTTCAAGAAACATGTCTGAAAGAGGCAGCGATGTTTTTGGATTTGGGTGCTGAGTGAGAGGAGGAAGAACCTCCTCACTCCACAGACATCAGGGGAAATCCAGACCATTCAGTCATCAGGCCCAAGAGGCTGCCCATGACTTGGCTAAATAGGTCTAGTCAGTCGGGACCATTGCAAGGGCTCCCAACCTGTTAAAAGGCTCTGTAACGTGAATCTCTCTTTTCTTGTTTCTCAGTGAGAACACATAGACACATGCATACAGACACACACTGGTTCACACACAGACACACAGACACACAGAGACACACGCGCTTGCTCTCTGGTTCATCTCCTGCAGGTACGAAGAGGAAATAAACAAGCGCACAACTGCAGAGAATGAATTTGTGGTGCTTAAGAAGGTGAGGAAGGTGCCTGCCCCTGGTGCCCAGGTATAGGAACACAGGAGGGATTGAGGCCTATGCTCTGTGTGGAAGGGTCTGGTGTGGATGAGCCAGAAGAGGAGAGGGAGGGCTTGTTGACATGATGGCCGGCTAGCACTCCTTATTGTTTTAAGAGACAGGAAACCAGCTGTGGATAGTCAGTTCCCAGCTCATGCCCACTGTGCTGGGGCACAGGACAGGCTGTGGGAGGGATTGAGGTCTGCTACTCTGTTTGTCTCTGACAAATCTTCATGGCTGTGCCAGCCCACTGACTGCCCGATGATTGCCATGTGGAGGAGTTGGCTCACAGGGCTCACAGAGGCCTAAGGAATCTGCCTGAGATTTGGTAGTGAGTCCTGGCTGGAATGAATCTTGAGTCTTTCCCTGGGGCAACAAGTCACAGGGTTGGGGACTGGGGCATTTCATGGGAGAGACCTGTGGGAGTTTAAAGAAAGGGGATGTCAAGGGGCCTCTGGATTCTCCTCAGGACGTGGATGCAGCATACATGAGCAAAGTGGAACTACAGGCCAAGGTGGATTCCCTGGAAGGAGAAATCAAGTTTTTCAAGTGCCTGTATGAGGGGGTAAGACATCCTGCCCCATGTCTTCTGGCAGTAAGGCTTGTGATGAATAGTTACCACGCTCAGTGACTAAGAGTTCAGGGATCACTGGCAGTTGGCTGCTGGGAGCTTTGGAGATCTAAGGCAAAAGTGATGATCTCTCTTGGTGTCCCATCAGTCCTTTTCTGTCTCCTGATGTCCTGCTGTCACATCTTTCAAAAAGTTGTGAGTCTCTGTGGGGTTCTCATTAAATTTCAGTCCAGCAGATTCTTATTCTTGCTTGTCACCCTGCTGCTTGGGATATTTCCTGCAGTCTTGGAGAGGAGTTCCCAGGAGGTGGGGACTTCTCATAACCTTTCTATTTTTTTCTTTGTGAACATGTGACTTTCAGCCTTAGCCCATTGGCCGAGCATCCATGGAGTACGGTATCATGAGCATCCCTCTCATGTTGGCTGGGATGTTTCCCTCCACCTTCCCCCTATGTCAGGGGACAGACATATGAGCTGCCTTCTCTGTGGTGCTTCAGACTCATTCAGCAGTTTTCCAACATGGTACTGAGCTGGTGCTGTCCATTTTCACAAGCTTTGGGGACTGCAGCTTATACCTGTTTGCAAGGTCTGGAGCCATCCTGTTAAGACATGACCATCATCTCTGATTGTAAAAGGCATTTTGTTCTTCCTTGTCTCCCTTGCAGGAGATTGCTCAGATGCAGTCCCACATCAGTGACACCTCTGTCATCCTGTCCATGGACAACAACCGGAACCTGGACCTGGACAGCATCATCACTGAGGTCCGTGCCCAGTACGAGGAGATCGCCCTGAAGAGCAAGGCTGAGGCTGAGGCACTCTACCAGACCAAGGTGAGGCTGCACCCTTGTTCAAGGTCATGTGTGTAGGGCTCCTGCCTAGACAGTCTCATCTGTCCCATGACCTGCCATGGTCCTTGAACTTCAGTCAAGCATATTCTCAGTCTTAGTGCTATGTATTGTCCCTGGTGCTCAGGGAAGTCCAGATGAAGGAGGGGACATGACTTTGACACTGGGCTCCACTTTGATGGTGACAGCCATTGGAGGCTGTATCTAGCAGAGTGGAAAGGAATGAGTGCACAGAGTGCAGACTTGGGAGCTAGGAGCACGCAGGGTGGGTCAGGACCAGTTTCCTGGAGACAGAGAGCACCACAGAGTCTGGGGGAGGGAAAACAGGAGTAGGTAACATCTCAGCTCCTTCTGTCATTATAATAAATTAGGGGGTCCTTCAGTGTAATTTGGGTTCAGGTGACTCCTACCTTTTCACTCAAGCCCAGAGCTGAGGATAAAGGGGAGTTTACGTCTCTTAGATCTTAACTCCTCTAATGGTCTGTGGGTGGGAAGTGACTCTTTAGATAATTCAGTTTCTCAGATCAAGATGGCAACACTGTAATTGTTTCCTGCTCAGGGTCTTTCTCTAGGGAGATAATTCTTGGGAGAACTTCTCTCTCCCTCCACCTTGCCTCCTCGCTGGTGTGAGACAGAAGGGTTTGGCCTTCGAGGAGGTGGAAGAAAGCTTTCAAGACTCAGGAGACAACATAGGCCAGAGCTTCCTGATAAAGGCTCTGACTCGAATGCCATTCCCAGACTCTGCCACATGATGATTACAAGCCGTGGCCAGAATGAGTAAGAAGTACAGGCTCCAGGGTGGGGCCTAGCCTGAGAGCTGAGCAGCAGGAGGGAACTGCCTATTGGTCTCTTGAGTACAGAACAAGGTTAGGGGGCACCCTGCTCATATGGCCTTCCAGAGAAGCAAGACAAGGCCATTTGTCTCAGTGTGCACCAAAGATTGAACACAAAGGGCACAGAGAGATGCCCCTTTCCCTACAGAGGACTTGGCATCCCAAGGAAGAATTCTGAATCTGGGGTCATGCTGGGCTGAGCACTCAGGGACAGAGATAGGGCAGTGCACTATCCCAGAGTATAGCTCCTACAAAATAAGAGAACACCTATTTTGCATTTCCCTTAAACCAGATTCTGGGATAGAACTGCTGACTATTCCATGGGTGATATCAAAGGTAGGAATAATCGAAAACAGTAGATGACCTGAAATTCATGAATGGTAGTATTGAGATATAGCTGAATCTACTTCAACACACACACACACACACACACACACACACACACACACACACACACACACACACACACACACACACACACACACACACACACACACACACGAACACACATACCCCCTCCACCCCACCACATACACACTTGATGTTGCCCCGTGTTAAATCTTTCATTTTTCCCTCTGAGCCCATCAAGATAGCCCGGGGCTGAATTAACCAAGGAAAATTCAGAAAATAGAGGCAGACAGCTTGTTCATTTACCAGTCACATCTTTGTGTATGTGTGTGTGTGGGTGTGTGGGTGTGTGTGTGTGGTTTTTTTTTGAGACAGGGTCTTAAGATGCAGTTCAGCTTGGCCTTGAACTATGTAGTAGAGGCTGGCCCTGAGCTCACAGTGATCCTCCTGCCTCAGCCTCTCAAGTGCTGGGATTACAGCTGTGTGTCACCATGCCTGGCTCCATCACACCTTTTAAAACTATAAAGCAGGTACTAAGAATTTAGTAATGAAAAGTCCTAATACCCATTTATTTTGAGTGTGATGGGGAAGGTATAGAAATGTGCCATCGTGGTACAGTGTAGTCTTATCTATGAGCTGGCATGTCAGGGACAACGGGAACAGAATTGTACCCAACCAGGGGATAAGGGAAAGCTTGTCAAAGAAGTGGGTCTGCCTTGGCTGAATTGAAGGGTTTCCAGGTGGTGTTAGAACCTCATGTAGACACAGGGACACCAGAGCATGTAGGATGTTTAGAGGAACAGTAGGCTATTTGGCACAGCAGGGGAGGGCCAGGCAGGTGGTGGGAAGGGGCCATGAGAAGTGAGCACTTTGATGCCATGTTAGGACTTTGAATTTGACCTTCACCTTGAAGGGCTACAGGCAAAGGAGGGTCGTACCTGGAGTTTTGTGTTTCAGATCTGCAGTGTGGAGAGGACTGGACTTTCAACAGTTCTTATGGCCAAATGTAACTCTCAGTGAGATTGGCTGTGCTTAAGGCAAATACACCCAAAGAATGAAGAGCTGAAGGAAAGGCTGTTGACCTCCCCACCTCTACCAGGCTCCTCAAACAAAGGCAGTCTTTCCTGAGTCATGTACCTGCTCTGGCTCCTCTCTCCCCAGTTCCAGGAGCTACAGCTGGCTGCTGGCCGGCACGGGGATGACCTCAAACACACCCAGGGTGAGATCTCAGAGTTGACCCGGCTTGTCCAGAGGCTGCGCTCGGAGATTGAGAGCGTGAAGAAGCAGGTGAGGTCCTGCCTTGCTTCCAAGGGAAGGTCAGATCAGCTTAGCAAGCCCCCAGCCCCTTGTCCCTCCCTTTGTTTCCCTTCCTCAATCCCCTTCCTCAACAGAGCCCCTGCTTCCTTCTGTACAATTTGCTCCCACCTGAAGTCTGGAATGATTGATTCCGGGGTCTTTTCATAAGCCCACAGAGCTCAGAATAACAAGCCTTCCAGTGCTGGGTTGAAAGGCTCCACTACCAGGGATGTGGCTGGGGGTCTCTGCTCTGAGAAGGACAGAGGAGGGTCCAGCCACTGTGGGCACGCGGGGGATAAAGTGAGACCCGATGCCTTAACACACAAGGGACGATGCTATCTCCTGTCTCTTAGTGCTCCAATCTGGAAACGGCCATTGCCGATGCAGAACAGCGGGGCGACTGTGCCCTCAAAGATGCCCGGGCCAAGCTGGATGAGTTGGAGGGCGCCCTGCACCAGGCCAAGGAGGAGCTGGCCCGGATGCTGTGCGAGTATCAGGAGCTCATGAGCGTGAAGCTGGCGCTGGACGTGGAGATTGCCACCTACCGCAAGCTGCTGGAGGGCGAGGAGTGCAGGTGAGGGGCTGAGGGGCTGGAAGAATTTTGCAATCCTCCCCTCCCAACCACTTTCTGAGGTGGTGGGGGGACTGGGTGCAGGAAGGGCTGGAATTTCTTTTTGGTTCACCCATAAACATAGCTTGAGACAGCATTCAATCAGATAATGTCACATCATAGTCCTCTACAATTCTCCTTTGGAGCTTCAGAATCTCAGCTTAGTGCCTCTGTCTTTAACACAGCCAGACACTTGCAAATAGCCCTGCTAATGAAAAGACAGTTCAAGAAGATCCAAGTTCAGAAGCTCTAGGCAGCCGACCTCCCTCCTTCCATTAAATTGCTTTATTTACATTATATTTTTACTGCTACATTTTTCTTATTTAGTCAACTAGTACTGATTTTCTATTTAGCCGTGGTAAGATAAAGCTTTCTTTCCTTATAAAATGCAGTCAGTTAAAAATACTAACCAGATAACAGTGTAAACTACATAGTCATAGCAGTAGTCGAAAGGGTGGATGGTATGCGAAACACAGACAAATGGAAGACCCTGTGGCCCAGACTGGACTGAGACATATAGCTAGTTCATTAGTAGCAACTCCTGGTCTTGATATTTCCACACATGTGTTTATTCAGACAGCAGCTTCTCAGCAGTGCAACAATAGGCACAAGGGAAACCCTGCAGTGGGGCCCCAAAATTGCAGGCCCCCCACATCTCTGAAGTGGAAAAGGTAGATGGGAAGGAAGGAGGTGCTCAGAGGTGGAGGGAAATGTTACTACCATCTGGCCAGCTGGTAGGAGCTCATGGAGTTGCTCTGGCTGGTGACTTTTGGCCAGTGCTGAGCACTAGGGAGGGCAGCCCTGAGTCCTATGTGTTGGGGACTCACTCACCTGCGCTTCCTCTCTCTGCAGGATGTCCGGAGAATACACAAACTCTGTGAGCATTTGTGAGTATTTCATGTCTTTGAGGGAATATTTTTAGCCAATCAACAAAGAGAATGAGTGGGACCCCTGAGGATCAGCATGGGCTCTGCCTAGGGGACCACCACCAGCGTACGCTTGCCTCCCTTGAAGAGACCTGCTGAGGCCGCAGTGGGGCTGCTGCCTTCCTGGTGGAGTCAGCTCCCCATCACACTGTGACACTGCACGCGGGCTTCTTCCTCAGAAACCTTACTCTAATTGTGATGAAACTCTCAGCCCCACCCCATCTCTTGCCACCGCCACCTGGTTTTCTTACATGAAGGCAACTAAGTACAGGGTTGCACCTTCCCTCTGAGAGTAAAGATGTTTGCATATAAATGAAGTGCAAATTGATTTTTATGCTGGCCCCACAGGGTTTAGTCCAGTCTCCTAAGAAAGGAATGGTAAAAATTCCCTAATTCAACCTATCAGTAAGTTCTTTGAAAGAGAAACATAAGAATGCATTCTAAAGTGGACTGTCAAGAGCTTGGTTTATCTGTGTTTGGGGTTTGTCTTTCTTTTTGGGGAAGATCTTGCTACTCTTGTTCATTCTAAGAATGAACAGATGCCCAATGGAAGTCCAGTGGGATCTGAGCTGTGTTTCCTGATGCCTGGGCTGCTCAGGAATTGATCATGTCTTCACCAGTACTGTGAAGGCTTGCATAGAGGGGAGAGATTAAACTAGTTGAAACTGGAGTGCTGAGGGATAAGTAGGGTCACCCTGTCTAGGATACACACTGATCACTGTTCCCTCTGTTCTTCACAGCGGTCATCAGCAGCTCTACGGCTGGGACAGCAGGTGCAGTGGCTGGCTTTGGGTTTGGTGGCACTGGCACTTACGGCTTCAGGCCCAGCTCTGTCAGTGGGGCTTACGGCATGCTGTCTGGAGGCTGTGTCACAGGCAGTGGGAACTGTAGTCCCCGTGGGGAGGCCAAGACCAGGCTGGGCAGTGCAAGTGAATTCAAGGATGTCCAGGGGAAGACCTCTGCTCTGAGCTCACCCACCAAAAAAACCATGAGATAAAGTGACAGCTGGCTCCTCAGCATTGGCCTCACCCTTGTTTCTCTGGACTCCTGAAATTCTTCCCTTCTCTTTGTCACTATCTCCTTCTTGTTTTTTGCCACTGCCACCTCCTTCTTCTCTTCTACCTCTCTGCCTTCGTCTTTTTAAAAATCAGAATCAGGACTCTAGGGCTGGAGTCTTCTCACCCATCTTTCTGTCTCCTCCATACAAAGAGACCTCTTAACTCAGCCACTCTTCCTGATGAGGACCTAACCTCTACTTTGCCTGCATGTCCTCTAGTAGAGGAAGGGTCCTTCTTACATATGGCCCCAAGTCTCCTGTTGCCCTTCAAACCCTGGCTCAGAGAATCATCTGGCCATGTGCTCTCTGGACACATGGGACTTAGGGGCATTGGGGGACCTACGAGAACTGTTGCTTGATACATCAGCACCAACTCAGGCCAGCTACCTAGTCACAGATTGAATGTGGCACAGCCACTGGCCATGAGAGACTTGAGAGTCACCTTATGGCTGTTTTTTCCAACCACGGGATTTGGGTTCTCAGTTCTTTGCCCTTGTTTAGCCTCCCACAACTCCTGCTTCCTGTGTTCCCACCAATAAACTTCTCCAATTCATACAGGATCAGGCTGCTTCTTTCCTGAGGGAATTCTCATCTCAGGTCTGAGATGTGTGGTATCGTTGAACGGAAACCTGGGGCATTTGAGCCCTCTCTGCTCCATACAGCTGTCAAAACATCATTTGATCTGAGTGAAAGAGACCTGTGGGGACTGGAGGATGCCACCGTCTTCTTCCCTGACACGCAGCATTCAACTGCAACTTCCAAGTGCCTTCTAACTCATGCTTTTCTTAGGCCAGTGGTACAGAGAATGCCCAATCTTTAGGAACATGCATGTTATTAGTAAGGAGATTTTTTCCACTGGCAAGGTTTAAAACTGATCGAGAGAGAGAGAGTAGAGCCAGTTTTAGAAAGCCTGGGATTTGAAATGTTCCTTGTTCTCTGAGAAAAGGACTCAAGTTAGATTCCTTTTCAAAGTAATGACCCAAGTTTGCACTATTACTCAGTAAAGTTTTCACCGAAGTGAGTAAAGATGTGTATGCATTTGTACATAGGCATGAGTTTATTCAAAATACATGTGCATGTATCTGTTTGAGTAGGGGCCAACCACTGCTGTACACATTACTTTGTCTGCAAAACGCTTGCTCAGAGGTATTTCACAGACCCGCAGACTCCAGAGACACTGTCAGGATGTGAGAGGACACAAAGGCAAATGAAAGACAAGCACACTTTCAGGTTGCATCTGAACAAGATCCCTGTGGGTCCAGAGCAAGTCTAAACCCCAAGAGCAGAGCACTGAATTTGAAATACCTTTGCAACTAACTGGTGAGGATAAACAAAGTTCTCAATCCAGGGGGCCTCATTTCTTTAACTATAGCCTAGGCAGAATAATGACCCTAGGCTGTTGTGAGGCCGAAATGAGACAACATGAAGATGTCTTGTGTAATTCCTGGTGCAAAGTTGATGCTTAGTAAATCAGAAGCTCGTCCTCTTTTTGGTTCAAATACTTGAGTTAATCAATTCATGGAATTGCTGGTAGAGCAATTTACAAAATCTAAACTTTGAAAAGACCATCTCATCTTGTGAGTGATAAGGCTAGGTTATTTCCCAAAGGCCTGGTTGGCAGAATAACTGGTCTCAGGAATAACCTCTTGGGGCCAGTGGAGAAGGCACGCTCAGTAACTATTATCTATTACCCGTCTGGCATGTGTTAGCACTGAGGGTATAAGAATGAAGAAACCTGGCCTATGTACCTCCTGGAGACATTACTACCAAAAATGTAACTGCAATATGGTGAGGTATCAGCAATGAAGGAAGACACAGAGGCAGCCCAGAGGAGAGCAAGGAACTGAAGGGAGGTCAAGGAAGGTTCACGGTGGAGCCAAAAGGTTTCAAAGGATAGGAAAGTGGATAACAGGAAGAAGTGGGCTTTGTAGCCAGAGGCACCTACAGGGTGAAAATCAAAACCGCTACCAGGGTGAGAAGAGTGAGGCTGGAAGGGTCTCAGTAGGTGGCAAGGCAGGCACAATGGCCTGGAGTTAGGGAGGTAGCAGCAGTGTATCAGAGAGGCTCCTTGTCCACAGAGAGTTGGGGTTTTATCCTGTAAAGTGCAAGGGAGAATCGGCTCCTTGCCTGTCAGGACTCTGCAACTCACTGTCTGTGTGTGACATAAGCCTCAGTTCCTCATCTGCAAAAGGAGTTAACGACAGAAGTCACCTCAGAAAATTTTGCCTGAGAATTAAATGTAATGAAATCATGTTTGAAAATTATCTAATTCAGTGCCTTGTTTTTAGCAAGTACTCCAAAAACAGAATGATGAGGTAGAGACTATTCTTTCAAGAAGCAAAGGAAGTCTAATAGTGATGGGGAGATTGCTTAAAGAATGCAAATTAGGGGCCAGTGATTTAGCTCAGCGGTTCGGTGGCCTGCCTTGCAAGCGCAAGGACCCGAGTTCAATCCCCAGTACCAAAAAAAAAAAAAAAAGAATGCAAACTTCGGTAAAGAGCACTGGCTATTGAGAGGCAATTTTTGTCATCCAATTTCTATCATTAGATTCAGATAATTAACAGTGATTGCCTCAAACCCTGAGATCTGAGCAGCTCCATGTATACAACAGGAGTTAGTTTCTCACTCACAGCCCAAAGCAGGCCAGGGTAGCTGACCTGAGAGGTGGAGGAGGAAACATGGCTGTGAACTGTGTCATCACCCTGGAAATGACACCCTTTAGCACCACTCACATTTTCTTGGCCAACACTAGTCATGTGACTCAAGCCCCAGCAGAGTGTCAGAGGAGGCTGGGGAATGAGAAAGGGTGCAAGGACGTTGGGCCCAGGCTCTGGCACAGGCTTCTTCAGGCTAGAAACCCGATGCTTGTTTCCAGGCCGAGAATTCTCTTGCTTTTGGCCAGTGCTGGGAGGATGCCTAGAATCCATGCAACATTCTTCCTTTGGTTTTTAAAACATAACCCTGGGCCTAGTGCCATAAATGGATCAGGTTTCATGCTATATTTAGGCCTCTTTTGTATTATTATTATT